ATTATAGTATATTATGGGGTACCCATTCTGGTAATATTAGGGTTATATGGGGTACCCATTGTGGTAATATCAGGGTTATAGGGGTACCCGTTGGGGTAATATTAGGGCTATATGGGGTACCCATTGGGGTAATATTAGGGTTATATTGGTGTTATATTTGGAGAAAATGGAAACTACTATTTAGGGTTTGGTCACACATGCCGGGACTTGCGTGATAGGTAAGTAGGGACAAACTTGAAGACCCAGCGACCACGGCGCGCTACGTTACACGTTAGATGTACGCTGACAGGACTTGAACCTGCAAGCCTCCTCTGTGACGCTTGGTCAATGCAATATCGGGACGTGAAAGAAAGCTGTGTTCCCGGACGCTTCTACACCCTACTCACGACTGATGTGTTGCATCAATTTTTCCCGCCGCAGCAGGGAGGCACGCCAGCGGTGCCATCACCGCGCCTCTCTCGCCACCAGCAAGCTCACGGCGTAGGAGGGTGCAACGACAGCAAGACGATAATAGTCTCTGGCAGGAAGCCAAGGCGAGGCGAATATGGAGGCACTCAATGCCCATGTCACGGAAGATGTGGCAGGTGGGTACCAAGTTTTGCTTGCAAACAATCAACTTGATATCCTGGCCAATGCCGTAGCCGTCATCGCCAAGAACCGCGGCGAGGAAAAGCAGCCCATGCTCGCAAGGCGCTGCACAAGCGAAGCGATTGCTGCCGGCGCATGGGATGCAGCTGATACACGCATATGAATGTCATGGCCAACAACTGGAGCATTGGGATGGACCTTACGAAAATTGCCAAGGAGACCTGCAAATGTTTCCAGCCCTGCTGCCCCAAGGCGCACACAATGCCCAAGAATGCTGTAACTGTTGGACATGGGCTGTTGCATCGCGTCCAGGAAAGTGCCGACCAAACCGCTGAAAGTAATTTCCACAAACTGTACCTGCTGTCTAACCTGCCATCAGAAGGAAACAAGTTGTAAGGCCCGCACCTCCCATCTGCACGTTGTCCCGCCTACAACTTGTAAGTGGCGCGTGGCCAGATTGGATGCACGCTTCTCCTGCGATGAATCCCAAGCACAGCATGGCCGAGTAGCAGCGACAAGATGGTCGCAGCCAGGAAAGTGTTCAAATCGTCTTCTGGACGGCACTTCAAACCAAAGCTAACTTCCCGCCTCCACGATCTCCTGTCCATGAAGCCCAGAAGAAAACGATAAGGAGGAATAAGATGATATTGTCCATGAACGACGTTGGACCACGAATGCCATGATCCATGGGCGTTACCCAAGCGTACATCATCATCAAAAGCTTGACGTACAGCCAGAGAACGCTGAAGATGAGCATGGCGCCGAAAACAAAGAACGACTCCACACTCCATGTCTGGATCAAGCTGTTGTCCATGGAATGAGCTGCCATGTGCCTCATGTCAGACGAGCCATCCGAAGGTTTGACGCTACCTGACAACAAGATCACAGGCGTCACGGAAACATACACAAAAAAGTGGAGTTGTGCCAGCGATGCCTGAGGAGGCCCACCGCAGAAACTGTGACGCGCCCCATTGCCATCCCAAACCTTTGCCAAGCCTGAAGCTGTAAGTGCTCGAATCTGGATAGCGCCCTGCTCGAAATGACTCCAAGAACTCCTCCGATTCAGTGACGCTGCTTGGGGATGTTGTGTGACCTCCGGTCGACCAGCTTCGAATTGGACTTCTGGAGCTGCTACCTGGGCCAAGACAGAAGGAGTTCTTTTGCACACCTGGCCTATTTCATCTTAATTTTGTAGGGATTAGGGTTTAGGGTTTTATGGCTTTAGGGCTTTAAGGTTACTGGTAGTCAGCCTACGACTTTCTGAGATTTCTTCGCGGATTTCTCGCAAGCACGTTTTCAATTTATGTTCAACGCAAAGTTGATGTGGCAATGGTAGTGACTTTACAATCGTGCTACAACTGCAGCAAAAACAATCAGTCAAGTACTTTGGCAACATGTACGGTTTCCTCGGAAATGCAGGGAAAGCTCAGGAATTGGCTTACAACATCAAATGTAATGTTTCACTGTCCAGTGCTTTCGGATGAATTTTCCCACGGAGCCTCAACAGCAGCCCCAGAGAAGGGAGCAAAGTATCCCGCAAAAGGTTGCCTGACACACACATCGTGGCACGGCCAAGACATGCTGAAGCTCGAGTTGAAACGATTCGTTTGCGCAACTACAGCACATACAACGTCCTGTCAAACATCTCATCAGGAAGTTGTAGGGAAAAGAAGAAGCTTCCAGATTCAAGCTTGTCAGGGCGCGTCGTATTGTTTGAGATACGTAACAGGAATATGCAGGAACAAAATCCTGTAAACACGTGTTCACGTCACCGCGCAAGCCAAACATTTCATAATTCTCGTAACCTAGGAAGCCCATACTAGTCAATACATTTCAGGACGACGTTACAATACCCCATGCGTAGAAAATCTATGCAGCAAGCCAGGAGAGAAAAAAACACGCGAAGCATCATGTGCAAGGAATGACAGGGAGGCAACACGCAAGCAAGCAAACAACACAAAACTATGCAGGCCTTCATGAAGCAACTCGGGATACAGCAAGGACCTTGTATCTCCAAGACATGGTCATACTGCGGTTCGAGGGAACTCCCGCAGAACACTAGAAGATCCGTAGCTCAAGAGCCTGAAAAAAGAGAGTCCCACGATAGCACCTATAGACTTTTTGTAGAAGATACTTGGGGATTGTCCAATATTCCTTTAC